TACCTACTTTGAAAATCTTTACTCTCATAGGACAGAAAACTCAGAAGAAATGGACAGATTCTTAGATATGTATGAATTACCAAGGTTGAGTCAAGAAGATATCAAATTCCTGAACAGCCCAATATCAATTAATGAGATTGACAGCATGATTAAAAATCTACCAACAAAGAAAAGCCCAGGCCCTGATGCATTCACTACTCTTCCATAAAGAAGGATGCGCTGGAGATGTTTCTAGGCAAATGGATGCACCTGAGTCCATACTCTTAAGTGAAATAAATCAAACACACATGTGTGAATACCACATTGTTTCTCTGGTGTGAGAAACCAAAAGTGTAAATAAGGACCAAAGTCCATTTTGAAATAGGAGGAAAACGTTCAAATGGGAAGGGCAACTAGAGAGAGGGAATGGACAAAAGAAAGCAGGGAAAAGTAAAAAAACATTTTTTTTTTTTAAAAAGAGCAAAATAAAACAAATGTCTAGAGAATTCTCCTGGGGACTCAACTGTCTTAAGTACTCCTAAATAACAGTAATATTATGAAGAGCATGCCAGGTTACCACATGACAGCAAGGCCACTATTTCTTTTTCTTTTTCTTTTTTTTTCTCGTTTTTTTTTTCCAGTACCAGGAATCAAACTCACGACCTTGCACTTGCCAGGCAGGTGCTGTGTTGCTAAGCTAAATCCCCAGCCCCAAGGCCACTATTTCTCTAAATAGTTCACATGAAATATGTCCATAAAACAATCACACCAACATGAAAAGTAACTAGACAACAATTCATCTTCACATGGAGAACTTGTGCTCTTTCATATATATGAAGTACTTTGGCAAGAGATAAAATCTTTAAATAAAGTACTATGAGTGATCATAACTATGGGGTTATTATTATCCCTTAGTTATTGCAAACTGATCACATCCACAATCTCCTGAATGAGTGTATGGTGAAGCCTAAATAAAAAGAGGCAAATGGAATGATTTCAGGGCTCCAGGAGGATCAAAGCCCTCTCACAGAATGCAAGATTCTCTCAGGGCTAAGACCACGACCTTCTCTGGGTGGCCCATATTTAATTTGATTATCAGAAGAAGGGAGGGGTGTACTACAAGAAGGGCAGAACCAGTCAAGGACTTCTCTAAATAAGGTATTAAGTCAATCCACTGAAGAATGAGATGCCTGAAGCTATAGTCTTTATCTACTTGAGATCTGATTCAGGTATCCTTGGCTGTGATCTTGTCTTGTCCTTTGAGGCTTTCTGGCTTCATCCACCACTACAAGTTCTGGTAGGGATTTGTGACTCACAGAGGTTCACTTACTATGGGTCCGCCATTTCCAGACAAGGAGCCTAGGCCTTGGACAGATTCACAAGTGAACACGGAAAGCCAATTGGTTAATATTAAATCCTACTCAGAGCCACTTTGTAGTGGTCTCCAACACATAACTATGAGTCAATACAAAATCTACTTTGGAAAATTACATTTCTCATACATATTCAGAGTATTAACTGAAAAGTAAAGTCTAATTATAATCTAAAATTCATCATTTCTGTCTTCCTACCTGTTTTATTTTACGCAAGTGTTCATTTTTTTCATATTGTGATGAATCATCCAGTTTTTCCTTGTGAGTTATAAAAAAATTCCTATAAAGAAACCAAGCAGATTCACATTAGAACAATCAGAACATATTTTGCAGTAAAACCACATTTATAAAAAAAAACAACTTCCCATCCCTATCTTTCCACATGAACTACTCATATATTTACTAAAATTAATGAACACTTTTACTCTTTTAAATTAATGAATTAATGCTTTATTCATTCACTGAAGAGCAATTACCAAGCACTCATCCTTGCTAGGCTGGTTTTAGGTACCAGGGCTCCTACACATGCAGTGTCCATATTCCTATGGAAATTACATTCTAGTGGTGTGATCAGAACAGAAGCAATGTACCAAAAAATAAGTCGTATATCTCAGATGATTTAAGTCTCCCCAAGAACACAAAGGGTGAAAGGGAGTGGGAGCCCAAGAAGAAGAATGCTCCTTTGAACAAGTGGTTCAGGAAGGTCTCTTCAGGATAAGCTGTGAGAGGCCTAAATGAGGAGCAATCCACCATGTTAGGTCTGGAGGAAGCACTTCTAGGGAGAAGGAACAGTAAATTATAAGACCAGAGGCAGTAAAAAGCTTGATGTACTGAAGGAATGATGTGATGAGGTTGGAGATGTAGACAGGGACTAGATCATGTAGGGTATTAAAGGTAGGGTATTAAGGATAAGGTAGTTCAGATCTTACTTTGAAGAGAACAAACAGAGCACTTTTTAAAGCAGAAGGGCAACAGGAACTGATTGGCATCTTGTGTAGATGATTCTGGTTACTTTGTAAAGAAATACAATAGTGCAGGAAGAAAGACTGTGTAAGAAGGCTACAGTGGGAGACCAAACTAGGGATGTCATGGTGAAGGAGGTGTAGGGTGGACCTACATGGGTGAATTCAGCACATATGGAAATATTGATGGCAATAGGATGTGCCTTTGGATTGAGTTCAAGTTAGTGTTGTGCTAGGTCTAGGTAGTGCAGCAAAGAGGAATGGTGGATGACTCCTCGGCACTTGGCTTAACTAGCTAGGCAAACAGTGGTGTCATATCCACTGTCATAGGAGATTATGGGTAGAACTCCTTCTGGAAGTCTTTGTCTGACATATCCACACCCTCCAAGTGGAGAGGCCATGCATTCAGAAATCAGAGAAATAAGTGAGGGCTAGATATACAAGACCTATATAGTCTTTGAAGTATAGTATTTAAAACCATGAGACTGGATAAAATCACATAGGAGAAAGTACTCAGAGTATGGTGATGGGCCAAGAACTCCAAAATTTAGAATCACAAAGACTTGAAACAAGCAAAGGCTCCTAGTAGGACACACCATGTGGTGAGGAAAGAGAGATGCCATGTTTGGGAAGACAAATGAAAGACATGTTTCAAGAAAGAGGAAGTGATAGGCTTTGTCAAATTCCACTGGGAACTCAAGAGCTTTAAGGAATAGTCTAGACCTCTAAAGTTTGAAAGCATAGAAGTTATTAGTAATTTGACAGTTCTGAAATGATTTTAGCCCTCTAAAGTATTCATAATCTTCATAGCCTTGGGTACTTTAATGGCAAGGATACACCCTGGATCATAAATTGGCTATATTCTATGTACAAAATTTAACTTCCACCTCCACATTTTCCATGGGCTGAAAGCCAGTTGAATGGCATGGAAATGAAGAACCACAGCACTGGATCTATAATCACTGTATCAACGTATAACGTCGGGTATCATTAATAAGAAAAAACAAGGATCAAACTGTCAATGCCATCTGTAAACTTGTGGAGCACTAGAAGTACTAGTAATTGTCCCAACCCATAAGATTTATTCTTGTGGCTGAGTACTTTTGTTTTCTTTGATATTTTGACCTCAAAATGGGTAACAGTGGTATTGGTCATGAAGTTAAAGATTTCATGGAGGAGGGGATTAAGGCGTATAGATTAATAGAAAGATGAGCAGTGCAAATTATTTTAGCTTCTTGTTATTCTTATAAAATGTTGTAAAAATCACTGATTCTTCAACTCCACCAAGTAAGAATTAAGTTGCCTCTCTCCACTTTCACATATAGAGGAAATAAATTAAGAAATTAAATAAAAAGAATACAGAGGATTTTCTCTTAATTTGCCAAGTAATGAAGAGGCAAAGTAAAGTTTTAGGAATCAAAAACGGGGTTAGCCTGCATCTTCAAATATCAAATGAATCAAAAGCACTTTTCTTTGGTGAGATTGTACATAACTGAAATTTATTGAAAAGCTTGTGTATCAATAATGATGAACTATTAAAAATGGAAGATCAAGAAATCTTCATTTCTTTCTTGAATATGTATGTAAACAATTTCACTTACATTCTTAGAAATAAAACTTCAGCTATATAGTGAAGTTTTCAATCATAACTGCTAGGAACGAAGACCAACTTTATAAACTCTGCCATGTTTTTGTTTAGCTTTCCTTTGAAATATGAGATGTGATCAAAATATATGGTTAATGTTTAATTTTAAAGAATACTTCAGTTAAAGGCACACTGCCATTAATGCCCCTCAAAACAGTTCTTACTTTAAACACACTTATCTTATTGTTCTTATCACTGTGTGAAGCAGTTCTGGAAGTCCTCTTTCATCAGTGTCTTTATGAGGTGTGATAAAAATGTGGTGACTACTGCTACTGAATGCCATTCAGTAGAAAGGCAGGCTTATAAGAATGTTATGGTGTGTCGTGATTTACCTATTTACTTGATCTGGTACCAGGTGAATTCTCGCTCTTTCTCAAAGTCAAAATGACCATGAAAGGTAAATGTTTCAAATTGACTCAGGACATTGAGGGAACCATGAGAGCACAACTGAAGACACTCTTGAAAAAGGACTTTGAGAAGTGCTGTAATGAATTTGTTTTTAGTTGAAATATTCATTGTATTTTCAATAACACATCAAATGTATGAACTAAAACTACTGAGTCAGTTACAAACTATAAGGTTTTCTTACTTGCAGCATTAACTGAGCTTTCTTATTTTTTAGTTTTACACTGAGTATAAAGATTTCCCTATTTCTTGGGCAGATGATGGTAAGTTAGCGTTATATTCTACAATTCCTGTTTTAGAAGACATATTTTAAAATTTCAATACATTTAAAGCCATGTAGAAATGAGCCACGTTATTACAGGATTCTAATGTGAAGTTCCTTGTCTTTTAGGAATTTGCTTAGCCTAAACTACATCTCTTAGAGTGTCAGTGAGCCACAAGGGGGACCCCAAAAGACAAGTTACGAGACCCCATCTTCCTGGCCAGAGCTCACTGGACCAGGAGCCAAAGCCAAGCCAAACACATGGTAATACGAAATCTGGGAGCTCTCCTGGGAGAGAGTGCTAGTTCATCTCCACAGGTAGCAGGACCTGTGACAGGTCAAATCAGAGGGTTTACAAAGCCATGCTTTGCCAAGTGCTAACCAAGAAGAGAGCACTGGATGTGGATAAAAACAACAATGGAACACTTGGTAAAAAGGAAGTTCAGACTCTCTTCGGTGTTGTGGGACAGTTCCTTGAGTAGCAGTTTGCTCTTAGGAGTCTCTGAATTTTCTCAGTAAATTCTTCAAGTTCCCCTTGACTAGGAACAAACACAAGAGCATGGCTAGTTGGGCTGTAGCCTTGTAGCACATCCCACTAATGCCTTTCTCTCTAGGAGGTTTCCTTTTCATGTTTTTTGGTAGGGAGTTAGGAATTCAGGTAAGAATATATAGTTAATGCTTAAATTGTAAAAATTATTACAATTAGAGGCACATTGCCCTCAATATCTCTCAAAGCATTCTCTCTCACTGCAAACACACTTATCCTATTGCTCTTGTCACTTTCTGAAGCAATTCTGGAACGCCACTTCCAAAGAGTCCCTCCTCTTTCCCTAGCTGACTATTACCACCCTCAGATTTTTCTCTTAGTGATCTGAAAGACTAGCTAACTATAAAATGAAGAGGTGATGTTATAAAGCTATTATAACAATTTGAGTAAAGTAAGAGACTATGCCAGGGATATAGCTCAGTGGCATAAGTGCTTGCCTGGCAAGCCTGAGGTCATGAGCTCGATTCCCGGTACCAAAAAAAAAAAAAAAAAAAAGAGAGAGAATATAACTTTTACCTAGTAGTAAAGACTTGTTTTTAAGAATGAAAATAGCATATTAACTACTAGAATTTGCTCTTTAAATGTTCCACAAAGTCCAATGCATTAAAGGCTTGGTCCCCTGGGTGGTGCTTTTGGGAGGTGGTGGAGCCTTAAGAGGCGGAGCCTTGCGGGAGGACTTTAGGTCACTGGCTGTGTGCTCTTGCAGAGGACTGTAGGACCTCAGTCTTCCTTTTTTCACTTTTTACTTCCTCACTACGAGGCAGGCAGGTTTGTTCTGCAGTACATTCCTGCTGTGCTGTGCTACCTTTCCAGGGACTCAAAGCGATGGGATCAACAAATCATGGTCTGGGACTTCTAAATTTGTGAGCTAAAATAAACATTTTCTCCTTATAAGCTTATTATCCAAACTATTGTGTTATGGGAAATATATTAACATCTATGGCTACTTCAGTGAAAATAAGGTATCACACTTACATTTTATTTTCTAGAATCTTACAAGCTTCTGTTATTTCTTCCACCTTTTCTTCCCACTCCCTTATTGATGATTGTAGTTGTGCTATCTCTAAATTGTGATCACTAAGAACCTATTAAAAATTCAACAAAAATATGACATCTAGTCATTACCAAATGATTCACAGCAGTCATTTGATTCTAGTAAATATTCATAATTTACTCAATTTGTAAAATGGGGTTGTCTTTTAGTTTTAAAAAGTAATCACTATAATCATTTCTTCATAAAATAAACTTGGTCAAAAATAATTCTTAAACCATTAGCAAACCTAAAATTTGATATAGAGGGTGACCTAATATAGCAAGGAGAATGTGAACACTATATAAAAATTTTTATTTGACACAAGAATTCATTTTGTGTTGCATTTAAAAAATAATTAAATTAATATTGTCATAATCACTTTCAAAATATTAGCCCAGGATACCAGAATGAATATTACAAAACAGTAAAAAAATTGTTTTTTTGTATTAATTAACGGCTACATTTATGATGAAAATTTTTTCTTAATATTTGATTAATATGTAGGGAATAGAATAATCAGATATCGTGAAACAAATGTTATCATGACTTGAAGGAAAATTGCTGACAAAAACTTACAGTGAAATATGTATCTTTGCAATGTAACTTTGGTATAATGAAAGGGAGAGTCAAGCTCATTGAGTCTCAAGTTTGCATTCTACCCTGTGAGGGAAGAGAAGGCCGCTGGGGGAAGACTGCCAGACAGACTGCACCGCTCAGGTGATTTAAACCCTGAAAACCTGGATATTGCTGTAAAGTCGGAGAAATACCTGGGTGGGGAGCGCAGGGGCTCTTTCAGCCCTGCTATATGAGATGGGGAGGTAGAAGCTGCTCAGGATGGCTTCTTTCTCTACAGCATGCACACATGGGTAGCTAAATTTCTGCTTCCTAGTTAGTCCCACAGTCAGAGGGATCCAGAATCCTAGCACTGCCATCAATACTGGCAGAATATTGCCGGGTCTCTGGGCTACATGCTGACAGTCTTGACATTTGTTGTCTAGCTTCCATCATCCCATCCTGAATTGTTGGCTGCCTTGAGACTCCTTCTCAATTATTTGTTTCTGCCAACATCACATTAGCTCGACCTGGTTACAGAGACTTTTAAACTGAAGTTGCCTTATGAAGGTTAATCTGAAATTCCTTGTGGTCTTAGTCCACAGTCAAAATGTTGCCTTCTAGTCTCAGCCAACAACCACCATAAACTTTACCAAATAGAAAGCACTGAGCTGAAAGCTTGGTGGGCACGACCTCATTCACTCTCCTCCAAAACTCTTTGCAGCACCACTTTATACATGGAACAACTTCAGCTTGGCAGATCCAAGATGTGAATCCCTATGTGATGCTCAGGGTGTGCTTTAAACGTTGTTCTCTGCTAATGGTGGGTTGTGGTGGGCATGCTCGGTTGTGGGAGTTAGAGAAAGTGCAAGCATGTCTAGTTTGACCTTAGAGAACTTTGGTGTATAAATTAAGGAACATATACTTAATTTTTCCAAACTGCCTGGGAAGTGGTAGAGCACTCAATTTGTGGTATATGAAGCCAAAACTGGAAATATGAGCTTGGGAATGCAGATAAAATACATTTTACATAACATTTATATTCTCATTTTTCCTAGCCAATCATACTTACCCTTACTATGTTGAAATCTAAAAAGAATGATCTTTTCAAATGCTCATATCTGATATTACTAATGTTCTGTAATCAGATTAAAATGGGTAGAATCACCTTCATATAAAGAATAATGCAATTAACAATGCCTTCTGATAGCAAATGTGATGTTTTCATAATTACTGTTACATCAATATTGTTTTGCATGTGATTTTAATACACATAGAAATATACTAATACACTAATACATTTAATACACATAGAAATACACTAATACTCATTAATTCAAGTAGTCATGATGGAAAAGTAACAGGCATTTCTGTTTTTATTTGGCACAGAGGACATATTATCATTAACCACCTCCGTAAGCTTCAGTATTTCTGATTTTTAAAATAAAGATCATTCTCACAAAGTACAGTGCTATGTTTCAATACATGTTACTAAAATTCTTTTATAGAAGCACAAAGCTGAAGTATTTTTAAATTCAAATAGACAATCTCCTCTCCAAATGAATGCTACTGTTCCCAGTATCAGCAGACAGCTGTTCTAAACTCTGTTCTTCTATTCTTCTGCATTCAGAATTAAGGGACTGTCATGGTTAATTTTTTTCTGTCAAATATTACAGAAATATTTTATATTTATACATATACACACATCACATATATTTACTTAGTTCTAAATGTGTCTTTTGATGAAAATTTTCAAAGTATTTGGGGCTATCATATGCAATTTGTACCTAAGACAGCTTTCTTCATACCATATTCCTGAAGATGAAAACACACTTGCACTGCAACACTTCAAAAAAGTGTCAGAAAATATTAACATAAAAGAAGTCTTCCAGCATGGCATGTAAATGAATTAAAATCAGTTCCTTTTAATTTTTTTTCAATTTTTAAAATATGTTTGCAGTATATCGTGACTACAGTCCTCAGGGGGAGTTGGTGGGTGGACCTATCACATTGTAATTCTTTCTTCACACCCCCTGCCCTTCCCTCCTTCCACTGCTTGGTCCCCCTCCTTTTTGCAAACAATCGATCTCCCTATGGAGGTGCCCAGGGCAGGCTTGAAAAAACACAGTTTATTCTTTCTTACCACTGTGCTGATGGTAACTGTTTGTTTCATTTTTGACATTCTACTTTTTAATTTTTCCAATTCTTCCTTCTTTTTAAAAGTGTCCTTTTTTGTAAGTTCATAGATTTTTTTAAGTTCATCAATCTACAATGACAAACAGAATAAACCAGTAAAAAGGAAAATTTAGAAAATCTTTTTTCTTTGGCAGCTCTGTTCGGGTCCATTCTAAGTATGGCATGGTCAATCTTAATAGGCCAAGTAAAATAAGATAAAATAAAACACAAGTAAGTCCCACTTAATTTGCAGTATCACAGAAACAAAGTGAACTACATGTACGGGTCAAACCATAATTACAAAAAAATTAAAATATTAAATTTGTAAGAGCAATAGTAGCTAGGATGTTTAGATCTAAAATGCCATCCGAAGTATCACATTCAGAGGTTAGCAGGGGCGGCCCACTAGGGCTGATCCGTATATTCCCTTCGAGCTCCTCCCTTCTCTCTCCACTTCCCGGTCGCCGTTCCATGAACAGTTTCCAGCATGCGTTTCCACCTTAAAGCCTGGGTGGAATCAGGGCTTTGCTCTTTGGATCTGGAAGCTCCTAAGTGGTGACCTTCCCAGGGAGTCAGAACAGGCATAGGCTCCTCATGGCCAAGTCCAGCCTTCCTGACTAAAGCCCCTTTTATTTATTTAGTACTGTTGATGTCTACTTTTGTGTTACAGAGTGTGGATTCCCCTAAAGATTTACTATCTGACCCTTTCCAGGAAAAGCTTGCGAACCTCTGAGACTATTCACATAGCAATAAACAACTGGAAATTCCTATACAAAGTCCCTCTGAACTTTCTTAATGTGTAAAAAGTAACAACAGACAAAAAAAAAAACCTTCCCTGTATGGCTTAAAATAAAGTTAGAAACTCATTCATCTGAGAAAGTGCTGTAGTGTGCCTACCTCATATGAGGTGTGCAGGCACTGCGCTTGGTGCCCTTCCTTGGAGTGCTCCTTCTGGTGGGCAAAGACCAGCCTGGACACCACCCCTGACTCCTGTCTGGCCCCAGAAGAAGTAAAGAAGTGGACTAAGTTGCCCAGCCCACCCTCCAGCACCCGGAAGCCCTAATCCAGTCGCGCTCTTCAGACACCCATTCTTTGGCCCTATAACCTAAGGGAGCCGAGCCAGCATGCGCTGCTCAGAGGTAACAGGACACTGCCGAAGGGGAGAAACACCGCAGGGTATACAAATGCTTCTCAGGATGTCATGGAGAGGGAGTAAACCCAGAGAAGCCCCCTTTCATCCTCAGTGTCATAAAATTTCCATCCTGCTGTGAAAATAACCCACCTAAAGAAAGTCTAGCTCAGTGAGAGGAGCCCCGGAGCGATCAAGGTTTTTACTTTTCTTCTTTGAAACACAGATATCAGTTGCTCCAGGTTCAGCAGCCTAAACTGATGGCCAGCTCCAAACCAAAAGGCTCCAGGGAACTTGGCCATTGAAGATTGTCTAGTGGCTGCAGACTTCGGAACAGACTGAGGGTGTCTTTCAAAATTCACATTTGAGGGCCGGGAATATAGCTCAGCAGCACAAGCACCTGCCTGGCAAGCACAAGGTCCTGAGTTCGATTCCCAGTACAAAAAAAAAAAAAAAAAGAAGCAAAACAAAATTCACATTTGAAGCATAATTGCCAATGTGATATTATTAAGAGATGGGGCATTTAGGAAGCGATTCAGTCACTTGAACGAGTTAGGAGGCACTCTCCTGCCTCCTGCCCTGCAGAGGACTCAGCTCAAGGCACCATCTTGGGAGCAGAGTCTGGTCCCTCACTGGTACCAGAGTAGCTCCTTTGGGTCAGTGTTCTTGCAGAATAACTCTGGCCTCCCCTCCCTTACCTTTGAACGACCTTGCCCTTTCACTGACACTGTAACTTCTAAAGAGAAGTCTCAGCAACGCCTGCGCCTTTTTCTAGTTTTAGGGCAAACTGTGTTCACTGTGTGGTCAGTAAACACAAAGAACATGCACTAACTTGAAGAAAAGTAATGTGTCTATCCAAAAAGAAAATGCAGGTATCTATCCAAGAAGAAAATGAGGTCCTTTGCAATGCTCTGGGAAAGAAAAGAAAATATCTGCTTCAGAGATGAAGACTCGCTCAGTATGTAGATTTCTTCCATTGCACTAACTGTTCCCCTTTCCTTTCCTCTGTGAATGCCCTTCACACCCTAAGACAGAGATATGAGGCAAAGGGCCCCTCTGTCCTCTTCAGGGCCACAACCTTACTCCTTACAGCAACTCGATGTCCTGGATTTGTAGTCAGCTGGAAGGGGCGACCACAGACAACTGATTCCCGTAAGAGCTAGATACTGAACTCACGATGCTTTGATCTAGGACTTCCCAGCCTTCAGAATTTCTATAACTTATGAAGTTTCCAGGGTTGGGTATTTGGTATAGTGAGACAGACAGACATTAGACAAGTTCCTTGCCAGCTGCTTTTAAAAATGCCTGTTACAAGGAAGAAGACAGCTGGGCTCTCTATTCTCAGGGACAAGAGTACATGGTTTTAGGGTACTACTACAGTACTTCTGAAGAGAGAGAGAGATTTTTGAGGATAAGACACTCAGATATAGTTGGAATTTCTTTTTTCTTTTGTTTTCTTCTCCTTCTTTTTTTTGTTTGCTACAGGAATCAAACTCTCAGCCTCATGCTTGCCAGGTAGGTACTGTGCCACCAAACTATACCCCTAGGCCTACAGTGAGAATTTCTAAATAGCCCAAGATTTATCATTAAGAAGGAAATGTTCACTGCCAGACTTTATTCCTTCAAATTTTAATTGAAACTAAAGAAAAGCAATTTAATAAACCAATCTCCATTTCCTTTCCTTTCTCCCTTCTTCCCTCCCCTCTTCTTTCCTTCCTTCTTCCTTTGTTCTTTCCTTCCTTCCTACATCCATTCACATAGCCATATGGCTCAAACAGGATATGATTACACAGACTGAGTTTCAAAAACAGCCATCACCATTCCTTCCTGTAACAAGCATGACTTTGTACCCCAGTGTTAGATCTTATGGTAAAAACAACATATGTCAACCACCTTCCGAGGCAAGCAGCAAATGCCCCTGTACCATCCTCTCTAATATTCTTTCCCACGTCTGTGGACCTCACCTGTAATTGCTCAGGCTTGAATACCTCCAAAGGCATCTTGCTCTTCCCCAGCCCCTGGCCCTCTCTGGAAACTTGCCAACTGCTTCCTTGCAGTGTTTTCAATACATTTCCTCTTCTCTTGCTCTGGTCTTGGCAAATTCTTTGACCACCCATGTCACTGGCCCTCCATGTACTGTTCAGGCTCGCCCTCGCTCTCTCCCTCCTTCCTCCTTTCCCTCTTCCCGCTTCCCCCTCCCATCCCATCTCCTCCCTTCTCTCCCACTGCCTCTTTCTTTTCTTTTTCTTTCTCCCTCTTCGTCTTTCTTTCTTTCTTTCTTTCTTTCTTTCTTTCTTTCTTTCTTTCTTTTCTTTTCTTTTCTTTTCTTTCTTTCTCTTTCTTTCTTTTCCTTCCTTGCTTCTTTTTTGTTTTTTTCTCATTCTTTCTTCTTTCTCTTTCTTTTCTTTTCTTTTCTTTTTCTTTCTTTCTTTCTTTCTTGCTTTCTTCTTCTTTGTCTTTCTGAGACAAGGTCTTGCTATGCAGTTCAGGCTGGGCTTGAGCTCATTTTATAGCCCAGGCTGGTCACAAACTCACAATGATCCTCCTGCTTCAGCCTCCCAAGTGCTGGGATTACAGGTGTGTGTCACCATGCCTGGCTCTCTTCTTTAATACAGCACCGTTGTAAGCCCAAATTCCCAGCCCTCTCTCTGCTTTAATACAGCACCACTGTAATGCCCTTTCTAATTTGTAGTTATGCCAATTCCCATCTCAGAAAAGGCAGCAACAGAAGCCCCATAGCAAGTCCCATCGTGAGCTTGGCTCCTCTGCCGCAGAGGAAGGGTGAAGGCTGCAGTCTGGAACACCTACTAAGGGAATAAGCCACATCTTCTGGGACATTCAGAAGCTGTTCAATGGGGAATTTTAGTTAACATGGCATAGTAGATAGTGCAGCTCCCACTAAATGTGAGGCAAACAAGGATGCGCTAGTTACCCCTCACAAAACTTCTGGCCTGAGAACACTGTTTGCTCTTTGGGCTTCAGCTCCAGCCACCCCGCTGAGGCTGCTCCTCTCCCGGAGCCACTCAGCCGGAGCAGCTGCCCACAGGTGCGCTGTCTGAACTCCTTGGTCCTATCCTTACAGACACGGCCTCAGGACTGCCAAGGGTAAGCAGAGACGATGATGGCAAAAGCCTGTCCCTTTATGGCTGCATCTAAGCATGGGGCCACCCCAGTGTTAAACATCCTGCCACTTATATCCTTTCCCATGAACCGCAATGCTGGGACACGATCAAATGTCTTTTCTGAGAGGCTTCAAATGGCCTTGAGCCTCCAGCCCTACTCCTGTCCCAGTGTTCACAGAAGATATATTGAAGAGTGCTTGCCAGTTGTAAGGACAAATAAACTATTTCCAATTTCTTGCTCCAGGTCATAAATAATTCTGTATTTAAAAAATAAATCATGCCACTTACCTGAGTGATTAGTTGCTGTTTTTTTACCAAATATTCCGCAATGTATTTGGCCATTAGCTCCTCCGCTTTTTGCACACATTTTCTTTGTACCTCTGTCTCTTCTCTCTCTGCGTTTATTCTGGTACAGGTCTCATTTATGTAAATGATGGTCTTGGCTTTTTCTTCCATCGTTTGGTTGAGTGACAGGACGAACTTTGCGTGCCGCTGGGCCAACTCTTCTTGCTTTATACTAGGAGGAAAGAATCACTCTTGCCATGAAAAAGATAGCACTTGGGGAAGGAATTTAAAGTCTTTTTGATAAGAGGAGCCCTCAGTCAGAGGGCAACCCTAAGGGATGCTTGTGCTCTATAGGTGTTTGTGGTCGTTTAAATTTGGCTGCAGTGGGGGCAGAAGGAAACAGAACAGGGGTCACCCTAGCAACTGTTCACACGCTATAAAAGTGTCATGTGTTCACCATCACTTCATCTATCCCCATGTGCCAAGGAGTACATAGAAGATATTTTGGTTTAAGATGTAGAATGATTCAAAAGTCATTTTGAAAAGGTGATGGGATCTGGCCAGATGAACATTTGGATATATATCATCCCCATATCTGTCTTACCATCCTGAGATATATTGCTATGCCAGAGGAAGATAATCATCCTAACACATCTCCAGCTATGCTGGGATGCACAGAGGGTGAGCCGAAGAGACAGCTAGCCTCCCTCTGACAGAAACGAGGACTAGAGGAGGCTGAGTCCATCTTTTTTCTTTGTAAGACGCTTGAGTCTTCATTCAAACCCTTTGATCTTCTTGGCCAGATATGGGCACAAGGGGAATGATTAATCTCTTCAGCCCTCCTTCAGATTATGACCATATCCATTTGAGGAAGACTTCATGTTGGTAAAAACATCTACCCATGGGCTAACAATACAGATGGGAAGAAAGGACAATTGATTCCATTTCTCTATTTCACTGTTTGAAATCTCTTTAAATGTAAAGACACTTTCCTTTTTCTCATCCCTGGGTTAGCAAGGTTGTGTTTAAAGGCTCAGGAAAATAAAAACAAACTGATTGGAAGTTTACTTTCCCAGAGGTCAAATTCTGCAAAAGAAATGCAATAAAAAGAGCCTGAGAATCAGGCTCAATGTGGGGGCAAAGCACGAAACAAAACTACAGGTTGAAAACAAGAAAACACTGGCAAAAAGAGTTTGGGCGCTAAGGCAAGCACACCCAAAGCGCTGCCTCGTCTCCCATCTCCAGGACCGCTCAGGAAGAAGAGGAGGTATGCCGTCTTTCTGTCAGTCTAGGAGCATCTGCATATGCATATTTTTTTGAAAAGCAGATGCAATGAGTCATTGCAGTTTGGTGATGCTAGCTTGCCAAGCAACCACCTTCTGTTTGTGATTTGTCTTTCCAGAGGATTTGTCTAAAGCAGTGGTTCTCCAACTGTTGTCTGGACAGTAATAGCATCACCTTGGAACTTGTTAGGATTCTAGTCCCCTGGCCCCCAGCCATCCTGACCTACTGAATTCCAGTAGTTGGTTTTAACAGGCTTCCAGGTGATTCTGATATTTGTTCAAGTTTGAGAGTCACAGGAATAGAGGGGTGTAAGGTTGCTGACCAGTTGATATGGACGTCCATCCTGGGCATTGTTCTGGTATGTTGGTTTAGAAACAGTCTACTTCACATAGCTGTCTCTGGCAGCAATGGCGAGCATGCACTTATGCACGGATCCACACTCTGAACCCCCAGTGGGGTTAGAACATTCTGTATTCCTCACACTTATGTCACTGTGAGCTTTCTTTTCATGGAGCTTCTCCTAAGACAGTGTTCTGAGGGCTTGTTCCAAGCATTAGGGTCTGAATTTAATGACATACTTTGATATATCCTGCACCAAGCAGCTTCTCAATTATTTTAGCTTCCCATAAAGATGTGTGTGTGTGTGTGTGTGTGTGTGTGTGTGTGTGTAGGGCTCTTCGAACAATTCTCCTTCTGGAAAACCAACATTATGATGTTTCTGCATTAGTTCTGCAAATTTGTTCATAGCACTAAGGTATTCAATTTTTTCCCCCAGAATACAGCTTTTGTTCTCTTGAGCTGGGTAGGTGAAGAGCTGTGATTTGTGTTTTACAGAAGGAACAAATGGGTGAAGTGCTGGTCTCAGGCAACACAGGAAAGGGAAATCATAGATGCCAGATCCCGAGCTATATGCAGTTACACATCTTATCTCCTTTAATTACAGGTAAATCAGGCATCTTCCCTTGGGAACCAATCCCATCTTCAGCCGTCCATCAGGTTGTAAGTATGACTGAGTATCTCCAGGGGACCAGACTAGATCGAACAAATCTGGTCTGATATTATATTTACAACATAATCCCAATTAGACTCCTTCCTTTGGTGATGGTAAATTTTATGGAAATGGGAGCTAAAACCCATGTGCCTCTACTTTTCGAGGCAGCACTCAAAGTAGGCATGATTTAGAAGCAAGTACTAGTTGCTGCTGGGAGTCCGGGTCTCCTGGTGCAATGACTGAAACTTTTCCACTCCCCTGCCTGGTTCCCTCACCTGCCTGGGTCATTTTCTACAACCAATCTCCACTTCTTAATGCAACTGCCCTGCCCAGCTCACATCATGTGGCAAATCCCCTTTCCCCACAACTTTCCCAATGCAGCCCCAGGCTGCTGATCCCTCAAGTACTAAATTTAAAATACCTACCCGAGAGTTTCATTCACTTCTTTCAGGGTGGTTATTGTCTTCTTTAGAGACGTTATTTCATCATCCCTCATGTTAATTCTTGTTTGCATCTGGTTTATCTCACAGATATTTAACCTGCGAGCATCTCTGATACTCTCTTAAAAGTAAGTGGAAATGTTACTAAATTATTTGGGGAAAAGTACAATTATAGATACTGGCTCTTCAAACAATGAAAAACATGTCCTTCTTCAAAATATTCTTTTAATTATGTTTCTGGGTCAGAAACCTCTTACCACCTTGGCCCTTCTCATTGGTCCCTAGTATTTTTATTTCTCTGATTTCTATGGTTGCTATGATGATCAGCTTTCCACGGGCTCTGGAAAGCATTAGAAAGGAGCATTCTGACAACACCTGATTCCCACTGTTTAATGTACCTCTCACCTCCTGCCTACAACTTCTGCCCTGCTGCCACTGGATTTTTTTTCTAGACACTTGCACCCAGGCACGTACAAACCGGATATGCAGGAGGTGGGGCAAACATCAGGCCAATGATAGAAGGATATAAATAGTTCCTTCTTTCTCACCAGTGGATGATCCTTCAGAGAGGTAACACTGTGTCTCATGGGCATGTTCTCATAGTTAATTAGGTGTAGCCATTCAGAGCCAACATCATTTTGCACCCCTGTTTGTTCTCCCTTCACCCTTAATTTGTCTCTTCATCCCAATCTCCTCTTTGGATTGCACTGTCTACAAAAATAAGTTATGAAAGTCATTGTTTTCTGGGGAACCCAATGCATTAAAGAAGTAACTATTGATAAATAAACAACAAATCAGTGCAATTACCTAAGATTTTAAATGGTAATTCAGGACATGACAGATAAGGGTCAACAAACATGAAGCTTTGAACACTGTTGTTTAGGAAGGTGCTGGACTATACCCATTTCTACACAACAAATTCCTTAGAAACCAGGGTAGCTCCCCTGTGAGAGCTAGGCTTATTTTTTATAGCTCTTCTGCCCAACTCCAGGCTATTAGTTAAAATGCTCACTGCAGCAAGGTTTCTCAAAATTTGTGTCTCAAATATGCAAATATATCACCTGGGAAATGTTTTCAAATACAGACTCTGATATAGCACAGGGGCCTGCAGTGGACCCAGAGAATCTGCATTTTCTAATAAGCTCTTACATGCTATTTGTGCCACTGGTCTGAAGACCACACTTTGGGCAGTAAGGCTTTATAACATAAAGCCAATTGAATTTGTTGAGTAAGTATTCAGCATGTACCAACAACCTTACAAACTAATACGATCTATTTTTTTCCTTCTAAAATATTTTTTTTGTGTTTATGAAAGTAACCCAATCTAGACAATAAAGAAAAACGATTTTCAGTTCTAGCTTTGGTGCCACTTTTTTAGGTCTTATTTTTTTATGTGCATGTATAGGTCACTGTATTTTCCCTAAGCTGACACCAGGCATGTTATACAACCTAGAGTATCAATCAGGATTCAGTTAGGAGACGGAAACCTCACAGCAAATGGAACAGGGACAGTTCATTGTAAAGAGCGATTAACTACTACAGAGGATTAGGACAACAAGGGAATGGATAGTAAAGAGTCAAGAGTGCTTTCAAGAACTTGGGACTAGCAGGCATGGACACAGCCACTATCCCTAGGACTGACACAGAACACACATGAGGCAGCACCGATAGTCCTGGGAGGCAGACCTCACTGTAGAGCCTGTGGCTTATTAAACGGCAAAAGTTCACAAAGTCCTGGGCTGGAGGAGCTTACCAGACATCTACTTTGTGGAGTGTTGGGAACCAATCCATATGGAGGTGCCACATTTTAGAACTGTCCAAGGGAATTATAAGATTACCCCAGGAAATGCAGGGGAAGCTCTTTGTGGAGTGGTATCTCTTGGTGGCATCTGTAGTAGTCAGCTTTACCAGCACTGGACACAAAACCTGACACCCACAACCTAAAGGAGGAGAGGCTGAATTTGGCTCACAGTTTCAGGGAATGCAGTCCATGGTTGTCTGGCTCCAAGGAAGAAGCAGCATGGTGGAAGGGTGTGTTGAAACAATGATGCTTCATTCATGGTGGGGAAGCAGAGAAGGAGACTAGTGCCCAAGAGGAACGGGCACTGGATCAATACAGTACTGAAGGCCATGCCTCCATGATCCATCCGGACACACCTAGGGGCAAGCTCTACTAATTGGCTAGGCATTTTTTAATCCAATGAAGTTGATGTATCAGGATTAAGAGTCACAGCCCTCCACCACAAAGCTACCCTAGGAGTGCTGGGGGATGCTGCTGTGTGTTACAGACAATTGTGTGCCGCTGAAAACAAATGTACTGCAAGGGTCTGTCAAGCTGGGCAAACTGGAGCCAAAAAGAGAACCCCTTCCTCCTCCTATATCCCACCAGTGTCCTCTACCAACAGGGTAGCACTGTGCTAGTCGATAAACAAGTCTACAGAGTCCAGCTCCCTACAAAGTGCACATATGGAACTGAGAGCCAATAAACAGATACTTGGACCATCTTATTTTCTTAAAAAAAATTTCACTTATTAGGGCCACTTTTAAAAAATTAGCTCAATGGGAAACAGATTCTAAAGTTTTCACATAGAAATGTGTTATGTTTCAGGAGCACCTCCTTTGAGTAAAGAAAGGAAGCAGGCCCGGGTGGAGGAGAGGTTTGTTTTTTATGCTATACACTGCACATTTGTGTCAATGGTATATAACACTGACTTTGTTGGACTCACAAATGAATCTGACTTACGAACATTCTCCTGGAAGGGAATTCATTCATATGTTGGGGATTTACTGTATTCATAAGAGCCAAAATGTAGAAGCAAGCCAAGTATCCAACTGCAGATGAATGCATAAGCACAGTGTGGTAAGTGTATGTGACAATACTATCCAGCCTTAATGAGGAAGGAAATTCTGATGTGTTCTATAATATGAATAAAAATTCAAGATTATGCTAGGTGAAAGAACTAGTCAAAAGAGGACAGATATTGTATTACCACTTTTATGAAGTACCTAGTCACCAAAGTCACAGAGACAGAAACACAGCAATGATTTAGACATACCAAGCCACCTAATTTAGTTGGAATAACATCAATTCAGAATGGGCCAATTCATGTACCTTTAGTCTATTTATAGCTAACTTATACAAATTACAGCTTTATATTCCATACGTTATTTCTACTTAACATGTAAGTGGAAATTGTTATTGATTGCACTATGTGTAATTTTTCTAGCTATATTTACACAAGCAGCAGCAATTATTGAGCTCATCTTGTTAAAAGTACTTGGGTTTGTTTTCCTATAAGATAGACCAGGTCTCTACCATTTATCACCTCAAAAGTACCTTCTAGTTCCCTGTTCATCCTGTCAGGCAGAGTCTGCAGCAGGAAGTAGAATCTGCTGAGTTCCATCGTTTCTATTTCCAGACAATCGATTGTGGTTTTTCTCACTTCTTCCTGAAAGTTTAAATTTCACTTTTAAAAAGTTAACCCATGGAAGAGGGATATAGCTCAGTGGCTTGGCACCTGCCTGGCAAGTGCGAGATCCTGAGTTTGATTCCCAGTACAACAAAACGAAACAAAAGAAAAAATTAAAACATTAATCCATCAAAATAATAACATTGGTTTCCTAAACAATGTTCTATAAATGTTTATGGCATCAAAATTGAATTTTCATGAAATGTTTCCTGCTGTTATTTTATATGGAGTAGAAAGTGAGGAAAGGACATACTCTCTAATTAGTTTTAAAGATGTCATTGTTAATTCATCTGTTCATTTTTTTCTGAAATCTTTTCCCTCTGTATCTGTTTCTTAAATTCAGTTTCAAACTAAAAGGAAAGATTCAAATCTACTTATTAAAATGTGAAAATTGCCTACAAAATATGTATAGATAAAACCTGTAAATTATTCAAACCTATAAATCTAAACAAGTAGTCAGGTAAGGCTAGTTGCTTTGTTTGCTTGAGGTGGGGCTACTTTAAAAAAAATAGAAAAAAATCAGTTAGCTAAAAACATAAGCTTTTAAATAAATGGTTATAATAAATTAGCTATTTTATGACCTGGGGTATTGCCATTATATTTTATCAACTAAAAGTCAGATTACAAACTTGTATATATAGCATGTCACTTTTCTGTAGTATGATTCAATGCAGGGAGCACATATAAGTAAAAAGGATATTAATCAAAGAGTTAATTGTGATTATTTTAGGGTACAGATTATAGTAATTTTACTTTCTTCCTTTTGTTTATCTATTTATTTTCTAAAACTTCGGCAGTAATTTTGTATAACTTTTCTAATAGTGAATATCTATTACTTTAAAAATGGATTTGTGTATGCGATTTAAGAGGTTTCACGGCTCAGACATTACATGGGTACATACGAGATATTTTAGTTGGCCCCTACACATTCTGGAGAAAAACTAAATGGAAGAAGCAAGCATGAGAGGTTCCATCAGACCAGAGTGCAGCACAGAACACAGACGCTGTGTGTCCACGTGGGTTTAGACAAAGCAGAGGGATTACTAAAAATGGCTAGCTAGTATAGCCACATAATTATGTGTAATTTATAAGATATAAAGTAATGAGATTTTTATCAGCAGTGAGTGGCCTCAAACTTCACCTTACAGTATTTTTCCCACATTTGCAGATATTTGACATGTGCTAGAGTCTTCCTCAATATTGTTAAGTCAGTGAAGAGATCTCACCCAGTTGACCTTGTCAAGGAAGCATTTTAAACACCATCCAGGGATGACAAACATATCTGTGTTTGCAAGGGTCTTTGACCCTTGCAATTCCCTCAGAAGGAAATTTTAGAAACATGTCTTTGGCAGGTTTTTGACAGGGACCAAGTGAATATAACTGGAAGAGTTTGTTTTCAGCAGTACAGTCTACTTCAATGGAATAGATGTCAAGCAATCTTTCACAGGTTACGAAAAGAATTGCTTATGGAAAACAGCACCATGCGCGTGGTTTTCCCCTTGGAGACTGTCTCTTGGTTGGTTGGGAAGTTGGCTGGTTGGCCGGCGGACAGGTTTAAAACAGCACGTACATATTGGTGTCCCAAGCAATTGCCCCTTATCCTGCCACTGTTATCACCTGACTGCTCTTCCTAAGCGGGCCAGTCCTCACCCGAGGACACGCCCTGTAATTCAGTTTTCTGCAGGAAGCAGAGGGCAATAATTTAGACTGGTGTAAATGCTTAGTAAATTGGAAGAAAAATATTTTTAACTCAGGTAAATATTTTCTCTATTCACCAACTTAAGTCCCTTGAACAGAGCTGGTGTTAAAGTTTGATGAAGAATTAAGTGCGTGACTAAAAAATAGTTCTTATAGATAATACAGTACCAATTTTTTAACAGCAAGAGCAATGTCTTTAAGAAAGGTCTTAGCTTCTTCATTGCATTTAAAATAGTCACCTTGTAGAGATTGTTCTGAAAAAAAAAAAAAATTAGAAAGTTAAGATCTCTTATTTATGTGTCCAAATCCTACTTAACCTTTTATGGTCTGATTCAAATGCCGGAAGTTAGATTTATTTCTAAATTTCGATTGTGCTCTATATGTGTCTGTTATCTACTTGCTGTTTCCTATTACACAGTATTCTAGTTTAGGTACATATTTTATGGGCCTTGGTGACAAATTCATCTTTACATATTTAATGGTAAAAAGAAGGGATCTGAACAGGGCCAGACAAAAAAATCAGCAAACTAAGGGGATAATCTAAGATGCCTGCGATGTAGGCTTGATTAAGAGTGGTTGCATACATATTAGAATACACAGTAAATCTAAAATAATATCGTGCCAGAACTCTGCACTAAATCGCTGTTTAAAACCCACTATGACATTTTTACTTCTGTGGAAACATTTGAGCACGGAATGAGATTGTGTCCTTCCACACCGGGAAGGGGCGAGGTAGGAGCTCCTGTCCTTGTCATTCATCCGTACACAATGAGGTCTCCACTTCCTCACCTTTTGCAGGCAGAGACCTACCACGGGGCTGAGACGTGTTAGCAAAGGCAGGGAAGACAAGGCAGACCCTGGATGCGAAGAAGGAAAAGAAAACAAAGAGAAGAGAAGCAGCAACTTACCCTGGCTTGATTCCCACGGCATCGCATGGACTCTGAGTGGATTCAAGGCCTGAATCTTCATGTGTGAGATGAGTTTCCTGGGATTCTGCTTTGTGTGCATTACCTGACTCATGTCACCTTATAACCTAATGACCTTGGATACTGACATTCGCACTTCACAGATAAGCAGTCTGACTTTCCAGGCCATGTTACCAGTGGGAAGTCACAGATCTGGTGGGCGGTAGCATTTGGTTCAAACCCAAGTGGCATGTCACCAAGGACCATCTCTCAGAAAGTTGAGTGGCAGTGTCTACCCTCAGTATAGGCATCTTGGACTCTTCTACTAAAACAAGCTCTCAAACCAAGTGAAAACCAGTTAGTAAATTTGCAAGAAAGTAGCACAAGCATTGCTTGTCTCCTTTTGGTGAGTGAATGAGCAAAAACTTATTTCTGCTTGTCAACTGGCTGGAGAGCTATAAATTTTTGTAACTCACACTCAGAGCAAGAAGGCTGAATAAATTGTTTCCCCGTGAAAAACTTCCTGAGGGTCCAGAATTATCAGCAGAAAATGTACTTATGCAAAAGAACTAGTGTTAAAGGGACACTGATATAGACAGCAAGCATGAAGAGAATTCAAGGCCCAAGACCAGTCACTGACAATGACTTCGGATACAGAATATAAGTAATTTAAATCTCATTGCTACTCAACAGCCATCACAGTAACACTTATGCAAGCCTATCTGATAAAAATTGTGAAAATTTTAAATTAGGGCCTCTAAAAAGGAAAAGCTAACCGTAACGTAACAGAAATTATTACCTAAATGGTTTTTGTGCTGAACAAGAAATGTCCTTTCTTAGGCTAAGGGGTGCGGTTTCTAACAACTACTACACTGACCTGTCTCCAAGCAAGGTCATATTTGTCTGATTCTCTAAGACATTCTTTTTCACATAGTTTTCCCGCCTAATAGAACAAGTGTCGCCTAAAGACATCCTTCCCCGGGAGATAAACTTGCAAGAGAAGGGCAGAGCAGGACCGCTGAGGTGTGCGGACCCTCAGGAGTGCGGGACTCGTCCCCTGGTAGCAGTGGGAGCGCTCCGGACCTCGGCTGCCCCAGAGGGGAGACGGAGCCCGCGGATCCTGCCCGCACCCTGTCTCCCCGGCAGCCAGGGAGCGGGAGGAGGCTGCGGCCAGGCCGCGCTGCCGGCTCCCGGGGAGGCTCCGCGGTGCCGGGGGACCTCGACTCCGGGCCTCTCACCCACAACGAGAAGCTGCTCGAGAGCGGCGGCCGCGATGGAGGAGCCCAGCGTGGCGGGGCAAGCGCACAGTTGCAGCGAGCGCCCGGTGCAGACCGCAGCCGTGCGCGCCGCCCTCTCGCCGGACCCCAGCTCCGAGCTCCAGGAGCGCAGCGCCATAGTGCGGCGGCCCTGCGCTTCCAGGCCGGAGGCGCGGTCGCCACGGTAACGAGGACGCCGAGGCCGCGGGCGCCCTCCCGCGGTCTGCACCGAACGGCCGCCCCGCGTCTCTATGCTCCGTGCAGGAAGGGATTGGTCCGTTCGTTTCTGCACGTTGGGGCTGGCGCCCTCAGGTGCCCGAATGAGACAGTGATTGATGCTTCTCTCTTGGGGGACACCGCGCGGGAGGGCGTTGCTGCACAGGAGGTCGCTTAATCGGCAGGATGACCTCGTGAGGCAGATTATTTTATTAGCCCTGCTTTTACAAACAAGGAAACATGGCATGGATGACTGAAGACCGCGCAAGTGGATAGTAGTAGATTAATTAATTAACGTATTTATGTATGTATGTATGTATGTATGTATGTATTTTGAGACCAGGTCTCACTATGTACACAACGCTGGCCTTAAATTCACTTTGTAGACCAGGCTAGCCTCGAACTTGCAGCCATGCTCCTGCCTCAGCTTCCTGAGTGCTCTGATTAAGGTGTGCGCCACCACGTTCAGCAGTAGGACATTTCAAGCAGGAATCACTCTACTAGGTTTTTACAAAACCTCTCTTTTGTATTCCTTTACAACTTTCCCTCTATGTATTTATCCCGGAGCACATTTTGCCTTAAATCACAGTTCTTTTCCTGTTCCTTTGTCTTCTTTTCAAACTGTGGGCTCTTTGGTGACAGGGATAGGGTATCAGTTTTCCATACCTCTGCAAAATCCAGCCTAGGGTCCAGCTCTGTTTGCGTGTGACTGTGAGGTCCCTTTTCCTGCCTGGCTAGAGATGTGCACAGGTGACTCAGCCTCTTCCTTTTCCTGACTTTTCTTTAGAAATGGTGAAAGGAAAGCCAGGTCTAGAGTAAAAATAACAAGAGCTTCCAGTTGTTCGGTGCTTCTTATATTCCAGGCGCTGTTCTGAGCATTTTCCTACCCTACTTTGTAGTAATCTTTTCAGTAGGGGTCCTTGTCCCTTTGCTCCCGGGGACCCTGAGCTATGCCAAGGACAGCACCACGAGGCCGTAAGGGGTTCCGCCCGCTCAGCAGAAGAGTCCCAGACTCAAGCCCCACAGGTCATTTAAACAGAGGTCTACTGTATAGATCATCTGGTCTACTGTATAGATCATCTGGGTCAGGCTATAGCTAAATTGTCCAGGTGGGACTTGAACTTATGATCTTCCTGTATCAGCTTCCCTAAAGGCTAGTATTATAGGTGTGTGGCACCATGTCCAGATTTATTTTATGGTTCTTTGTACATGGAGTGCCCTGTACAAAATTTACTGCATCCTTTTCAAAGGGAACTTTATTAATTCTGAAATAGAAATCTGGTCAAACAATATGAACAATTACTTCATAAAAGAAAAAAGAAATTCCAACAAACACATTGAAAGGAAATTTATCTCATTAAGATTCAAAGAAAAAATATATTCATTCTCTTTGTTATGTAAGTAAAATGAAAAGTGGCAACACTGGGAATATGAATGCCTATCTGGAGTTCAGTTTGGAAATTTGTATGAGAAGTATTAACATACAATAATATTTCTAAGAGTATTTTTTAGAAGAATATTTCTTAAAGAAATAAGCATGGTTGTGTCCAGGGACATAGATAGGAGCTTATTCTTTGCAGTTTTATTATTATATATGGACATAAATTTTAAATAATTGTCCAGATGATCTATACAGTAGACCTCTGTTTAAATGACCTGTGGGTCATCTACATGGAGGAACAACTAGAAGGTCAGCTACCCAGAGGCATGATGTGCAGCAGTGTGAAGAATGGGTCCAGGCTTTAAGTGAGGTCCACCACTTGCTGGATGGAGTATCTTGGAGACAGGTAGCCTCTCCACTAATGCTGCCTGTATCCCACTTCTAAAGGAGTACTGTGGTAGGAGGAGTTCTTTGTTCATAGAATTATTATAAAGATTAAATTAACTGAGCTCTTAATGCTGCTTTCAATGCACAGGAGGTACCAAAAACATGATTTATGCAAAGCAACAATGAAGAACTGTTAAAAATGTGTATTAGTTTATATATATATACACACACAAGGAAACTTTGGGTGAGAGGGCTATGTTCATTATTGTCATTTCAGTGGTCACTTTATGCATCTTTGTGTATATCAGGACTCATAAATTGGACTTTAGCTACTTGCAGTTTATTATGTTTCAATTATTCCTCAATGAAGCTCTGCAAAGAATCAATAGTACATGTTTGCATTCACTGACAATACCTTGTGAGGTTCTTTCCCAGAGCAACCTAATGAAAACTCTCCAGAGGCCTCAGTGTTAGTCAGCTTTCTATCACTGTAACAAAATGCCTGAGGTGTTCAACTCGGAAGGAGGAAATATTTTGACTGACAGTTTCAGAGGTTTCAGTTCATGAAGAAATGGTGTCATTGATTTGTGGTGAGGCAGAACACCATGGCAGGGAGCACACAGTGGAACAAGGATGCTTACCTCATGGTGGCAGGGAAGCAGAGAGAGAAGCAGCAGCCGAGTCCCAATATCCAGAGCACACTTCCTATGATGTCACTTCCAGGCCTCCCTTCTTAGAGGTCCCACTACCCATCATTAGCACCAGGGGTTCAGAATCAAGCCTTCAACACATGGCCCATTCCAGATCAAAGCTATAACAACTGATAATCTCTCCTTTCACAATTCAGTGAGCAAGATGTATAGTTTTCAAGAAGCTGTCAATCTTGGAGTTGTAGGTTATAGACAGGCAAAAGGCACTCTTGAGATTTCTGACGTCGTAAAACAGAGATAGTTGCTTTATTCTCATTAAAATCTACGATTAACTTTTTTTTTTTTTGGTTTTTCTCCGGTACCGGGAACCGAACTCACGACCTTGCGCTTGCCAGGCAGGCGCTTTGCCGCTGAGCTAAACCCCCAGCCCCAAAATCTACGTTTAGTTAATTTCAATCAGAATCTCCACTAGAGAAAAGATGTTCAAACTGGCTTATGTATGTCCTCATGTATTGACCTTTGTGTAATCAACAGAATTGGTGCCCATGGACAGTTTAAGAGGGGATGTGGCTAAAAGTCAGTGTTCTTTTTTGTAGTCATGAAATAGATGTTTGTAAAATGAATATGCATCAAATCTTAAAAGGGCATTAAACAAAAGTATGGTAAAACTGCAAAAAAGTGGTAGAAGTTTACACATACATGCAGAAACAGAAGCACACACATACATATATACACAAAATCAGTAGCAAGAGAACAGTACAATATTCAATTTTTACAAATCCATATATGTATATCTTACTCCCTCTCTTTCCATATATACACAAATATTCATACACACAGTATATTTATACGTATATATACATACACACATATATAAAATGGTCTGGAAAATTATTTACTAAAATGTTAACTGTAGTTCTTCCTGGTTAGTGAAAATTTTGAGTGCAGTAGGTATAACAATACCTTCTTGAAATGCCCACGTCAGAATTCCCCAGACCTGGGGCTGCACTGTGTTACCTGGTAAGGGATCACTAAGGTCACAGATGGAGTGAAGTTTACTATAAGTGCACTTAGCAAGGGAGAGACAGCCTAGATTATCTGGATGGGCCATTTCATCACCGCAGTCTGCACAAGTGAAAGAAAGCAGCAGCGTCAGTGTCAAGGTGAGAGAGATCTGAAGATGCTGGAGTACTAGTTCTGAAGGTGGAGGATGATGACCCTGAACTGAGAATGCAGGCAGCCAGCTGGAACAGGGAATGGCAAGGAGCCAGGACCTGCCTAGGGCCTAGCGGAGGGGTTCAGCACTGCCGACATCACGGCATTAGCAAGGTGAGACCCATTTCAGCCTTCTGATCCCTGGAAAATCACATAAATTTGTTTTGCTGTAAACTATTGAGATGTGTGTCAAACAACAGGCATAAAAAGCTAAAATAAGGAACAATGACTTTTTCTTCATATTTCTGTATTTGAATGTTTATTCATAAGCATGTATACCTTTATTATCCTAAGAAGAGACAAGCTTTCTTGTTTAAAAAAATCATAGGAAAGTAAAGAAAGAAAATGTACAAATCTAAAATAGTGGAACATATAACAAATCCTTCTGGTCCTTCAGTATCTATAGATACTGTTCACTGGGCCAAAAGCCATTTCTTCTTCTCTCATGCCTCTTTTTACTTTGGTACAAACAGATGCATTCCTCTTACAGTCAGTATTCTGAAGGCAGACTTCTGTTCGGTAGCCAGGACAACCTGTCATACCTGGGCACTTCACTGCTTTGAACTTTGTTGGCTTTGGTACTAGATGCATTTTAACTTGAAAACTGTGTCCCAGTACCAGTCGCTTGTTTGGTACTTGACACAGAAGCTAGAACTCATTGGTATTGATTGCCACCAGACTCGCTACCCTTTCCAGCCAAAACAATTAGGCCAGTTTGATACTTATGGTGCGTCCTGGAACCAGTTAACAATGAATCCTGTCCTTGCTGCTGACAGTCAGGAGAACCCCGGCCCTCATGGAGTTAGATCCCAGCGAGCACAGGACTTGCCTGCTTGAGCCTACCAGCACGGTTCGGCCCTGCTGCTGTAAGGTCTGCACCACATTTGGGGATGATGATGCTATTGCAGCTGCTTCTCCCCATAAAATTTGGAAGAGAAAGCTCAAATTTGGGGTGTGTGTTTGCAGACCTTCGCTAGGCTGTGGTGTCCGCACCTGTGGCTCCTCTGTGCTGCCCTGCGCTGTAACCCGAGCCATCCGCCCTTGTACAAAGCAAGGAGGGGTCCGAAGCCCGTCTTCCCTTTTCCTGGGGAAGGAAATCTGCCTAGGGCCTCACAGAGCTTCTTTTCTGTCTCAGTGATGAGAGTGGGCTCACAAGGCCACCCAGAAGGGGAGATCATTACAGTTAGTGTGTGGATACCAGCCTCTCTGTTCTGAAG